TTCAAGTATATAGTACATTATTATTAACTGCAGACAGTGTGGTACAATGCACAGATCATTTGAACTTGTTCATCCTAACTGAAATTTTGTATACTTTGATCAATATCTTCTCAATCCCCCTCCCCATTCCAATCACTTTATGAGGCTTCTGTGAGTTCCACTTTTGTAGATTCCACATGTAACTAAGATCAAATAGCATTTGTCTTTCTCTGCCTGGTTGATTTCACTAAATATAATGTTCTTCAGGTTTATCCATGTTGTCACAAATGACAGGATTTTCTTTTTTTTTAAGGCAGACTATTGTGTATTGCATTGTATATATATACACACACATATTTTTTTTCTTCATTCATCCACTGTATTCATCGTGAATCAGTTGCCTATTCATGACATTTAATTCCTTCTCAATATTTGTTTTTCTATCAAACCCTTTTTGCCTGCTATAGTCTTTAACTGTTATAAAGAAAGTTGAGATAGGCATTCTTGCTCATTCAGCTTTGCCCAAGGGTCTGACATTTCCTTAGGATAAATTCCTAAAAGTAGAATAGTTGATTCAAAGCATTGCTGTGTTTTAAAATCTTTTGACACAAGCTGTGCCAGGAAATTTGAACCACCCGTTTCCTCCAGTGTCATTCCTTCCTCACAGTCCTATTAAAACCAAGTACTAATATTTTCTGAAATCATTACCTAGCTGAAAGGCAAAATGGCAGTGCACTGCTTTAATTTTTTCTTTGGTTATTATGAGTCCAAGTAATTCCTTTTTATGTAGAAAAATATTTTTGAAAGAATTATTGTTTCCTGAAAACTTCACAAAAAATCAAATCAACTTCAAAAGGAGAAATGGGAATGGAAGATGCTTAGAGTAATTTAATTTAAATAAATTGCCTATTTAGTGACAATACCAGCCAACTTTAAAAATGATTGCCTAAATGCACTGATTTAGTAAAAGTTAAGGGTCAAACATGGATTATTTAAACATCTCCTCAGTTTGTTGTTGAGCAAAGAAAACCAGGAAAAAAAAAATCAACACTAGAATGAATTTATGCCAAGGAAAACCAGAGTATCAATGTTGAATTCAGATCATCAAAAGATGAAGACCAGTTTGGAAATGCCTGGGCAGGGATCTGCAATAGTTCTACTAAGAAATGTGAATTTAGAAAGATCCCATGAAGCTTGTTAGTATAAATTATTTTTATTTAAGTTTTAAATCAATTTAGAAAGTTGTCTTTAAATAGAATTTTTGCAAGTAGAAATAGCTTAGATACACTAGGAAAACTCGTGAATCTATCTTACTGACAATTTCATTTGTAAATATGGAATTTTGCATGTGAAATTTCTCTAAAGAAGACCCACCTCAAGGCCAGGCATTATAGCTTACATCTGTAATCTCACCTACTCAAGAGGCAGAGATCAGAAGGATCACAGTTGAAGGCTAGCCCATGCAAAAGACCCCATCTCAACCAATGAAAGCTGGACACCTTGATGAATTCCTGCCATCCCACCTATGCAGGAGGTGTAGGTATACATACAGTAGTCCAAGCAAAAGTGAGACCCTACTTGAAAAACAAAAGTGAAAAGGGCTGGAGTCATGGCTCAAGTGCAATAAGGCCCTGAGTTCAACTCCCAGTACCAAAAAAGAAACCAGTCTTTGCAATCATCTCAGACTTTTCTTGTGTTCTTTCTCCTATCTTTAAAGTGTCATTTAGGATTCATGAATATGGGAAAATTCCACCAGGCTATGACATTAAAAACATTGATTTAACCCAGACTTCTTAATTCCCATTCACTTCCCCTTATAACTCACTCCTCCCAATAATTTCTTTTTTAGCTGATTCAGTGCAAGGACAATTTCAGGCAAATTTAATCAGTATGTCTTTGTTTTTGTCTATAGTAATGTCTTGGATATTTTACAGTCTCCCTTTTGTGTCTAGGCTACTTAAAGAGTCTTTTGAATGTGGTTAAAATAAATAAAAAGTGAAACCACATGGGTGTTTGGGGGAGTGTGAGGCACCGTGCCCCCCTAAGATGTATAACTGTGCCAGGGTTGAAAGGGGTCTCCTTTGATCCCAAACAATGAAATCAAGCTAACTTCCCAGAGCCTTTTCGAAAGAGGCTGCCCAAAAAAACTGCTGTTTTTCACTTTCCTTAGATTCAGTTTCATTTTCTTTCCTCCCCCTTTCCATTTCTTTCCCTTACCCCTACTTCCATGCACTGGGGCCACACTGATGTACACTCTGGTTTCCCCAAATATGCAGGCAACAACACTCATCCAGGCATCTACTCCAGCTGGGCTTTCTGTGTGGAAGGAGGCTGCCAGTTTATCAGCTGAATTGTATCCATGAATGTGTTTTATTTGAAATTCACTGTATTTTTCTTTTTAAATTTGAACCAACATTTAGAAAAATTCCATGAAGTTTGGGATTTCTGACTTCCTTTTAAAAATGGAAGTTCTGACAACATTGTTTCTGCTTTCATTCAAGGCATCACCAGTCACAGATGAGCTAAAGCTGTTCTTTCTAGAAGGACCATACATTTAACTGTGGTCTTGTTCAAACAACAAACTTGGCCTCATTCAGTTACTTAGATCACCTGCCTAGCTTCTTTGGTTTGGGTTTGAGATTTCTGCTAGGAGATTTAGACCATAAAAGGGTGAGGAAACATAGACTTTACCGTCCTGGGCAAATTATCTAATTAGGGAAGCAGAGCATAGATACTTGACAAGTTAAGACTATCAGTGTTGAAAAACCACAAGAGCCATTGTGCTGCTGGAGATTTACTAGAAGACCATGAGAAAAATAAATAGATGAAATTACGGATTATGATTTTAGAGACCAGGGAAATGATAAGTAATGTCTATTGAATATGTACTGTGTAACAAGCACTTTCCTATAGTTTATGTATATTAACTTATTTAATTCATGTAACAACTCCAAGTAGGTAGTATTGTTATTATCAATATACAGATGAGGAAACTGAGTCCTAGAAAGGTTAAGCTTGAGGACTTGTGGCTGGTTAAGTTTGGAAAAGCTAAAGTATGTTAATGTAAGACTATGTTGGCCTGGGGCCATAACTCAGTGTTAGAACACTTGCCTCCCATGAGCAAGGCTCTGGGTTCCATCCCCAGCACTGCAAAAACAAAACCAAAAAAACCAAAGTGTGGCAAATCAGTAAGCTCTCTAAGACTTATTTTACTTTTGTGATAATGATTCTTGCCTTCCTTCTCTAAGTGGGAGATTGTGGTGGTTGGTGATGGGCAGTGATCACTGAAAGTGCTGAAAAGCATGAAGCAGCAGACTGATTCATCAAATTATAGGACACTGGCTGGGCTGCAATAATTAATGCAGTTCTTCCCAAGCACATAGTGAGTACATGAGTCACTTGTTAAACTATGGGTTCTGATTTGATAAGTCTGAGCAGTGGCCCCAAATTCTGCATTTCTGACAAAATCATAGACAGTGTTGCTGCTGCTGTTGACTGGGGACCAGACTCTGAGTAAGAAGGATGTACTCAAAGAGGAAGGGTTACGATGCATTATCAGGTCATTTATAAGTGTAAATCTTTTTGTCGCTGCTTTCTGTTTATTAGCTGTGTTAAGATGACCTTTCGGACTCATTCTCCTGTCCTTCCTGGGCCCTGTATTTGCACCTCAAGTCTCACAGGAGATGAGCTGGTAGCATGGGGGCAGGATCCAGTAGGCATTCACTCACTCCACAAATCTGTGTTGAGAATCTACCATGTCTCTGTTTCTGTGTCAGGCATTAGGTCTGTGGCCTTAGTGCCATCATAGTACCCTTGGATCCACCTTAAACTCTTGTAGGACTATTCACTTGTATGATATTAGAAGTAAGTTGAGGAATAAGTATGAATAGGATTGTAGCAGACATTGTTTACTATGCACTCAACATCTATTCCTCTCCTATCTTGCTGCTAGGGTCCAGTTTTGCATAGTTGTTTGTTTCCCCACATGTGACTCAGACAAGAGTAGCTTTTACCAGCTTGTCAGAGGTTACTGCAAAATTTTCAGAAAGTTTGAGAGTCAGTTAATAAAATAACATATTATAAACTTACCATTTAATAATCTATTTAAAAGGTAATACACAAAGTTCATCAGTTCATAGTTATTTTACTATTATCTATGATCTTAACATTATACATGTCTGAGCCAAGTGCCAGTAGCTCATGCCCGTAACCCTAGTTACTTGGGAGGCTGAGATTGGGAGGATTATAGTTCGAGGCCAGCCTGGGGAAATATTTCACGAGACCCTAGCTTCAAAATAACCATAGCAAAATGGATTGGAGGTGTGGCTAAAGTGATAGAGTGCCTACTTTGTAAGTGTAAAGACCTGAGTTCAAACCCCAGTCCCACCAAAAAAAAAAAAAAACAACCATTATGCATGTCCATTATATCTGTTCAGTGATAGCACATTGGTAACTTGAAATTTGTCACATTTACATCACAGAAACTGGCACAGGCTATAAATCAGGGCCTTGATTTTTTTCTTGAATGGAGCAGTTATTGAATATTTACTGGTATACCATTGGATGATCTCATTACTAGCTTTAGGGGGGAAATTGTAAGGATCTATATTACACATCCCCTTAGGCATGTGACCAGTTCTGGCCAATGAGATATGAAAGTTGCTATGTGGGGGGAGTTTCTTAAGGAAAGCTTTTCCTGCCTCTAAAAAGGAGTCATGAGATAAAGATGGACTCTTTCTGTTTCTGGCTATCTGGTATCTAGACTTACAGCAGTTATCATCTGTCAGTGTCAAGGCAGGATGAATACGCTTGCACTAACATGCATTTTTTTTTCTTTTGGTAGTGGTACCGGGGTTTGAACTCAGGGCCTCACACTTGATAGGCAAGTGAGTTACCACTAGAGTCACTCTGCTAGCCCTACTACATACATTTTGTTTATTATTTTTATTTTTATTTTTCCTTTGGGACCTCATGTTCAGAGGAAAAAGTTTAATATGCAACTTTTATATTTTCTGTTCTAGAGGTGACCCGAATCGATGTGACATCTGGGGAAATACTCCTTTACATTATGCAGCCTCCAATGGCCATGCCCACTGTGTCTCATTCTTGGTCAACTTTGGTGCCAACATCTTTGCCCTAGATAATGACTTGCAGTCTCCACTGGATGCTGCGGCCAGCAGGGAGCAGAATGAATGCATTGCTCTCCTGGATAAGGCTGCCACTGCCCTGAATATCACGAACCCCAGGAAGGTCACCAGGCTGAAGGAACAGGCTCAGAAGAATGCCAGGAGGCAGATCAGAGAGTGTGAAAAGCTCCAGGAGAAGCACCAAAATAAGATGACCCACACATTCAGCAAGGAGGACCCCAGGATGCCTTCCTCCAGGTCATCCTTTTCAAATCTTTCTGCTTCCGGTACATTTGGATCACTGCCTAAGAGCATTAAAGACACCCTCCAGTTAAAATTCAGGAAGAACAAAGACACAGCAGAGCAGGTGGGGAAGGAAGGCAGAAGTGGGCAGAAGAATGTGATGGAAGTGTTTAGAGAGGAGGAGGAAGACTCGGGGGATTTCAAAGAGAAGCTCCAGTTCTCAGCAGAGGATGACAACGATGTGCAACATGAGTCCATTCTCAATCGTCCAGGTCTAGGAAGTATTGTTTTTGGAAGGAACAGAGTATCAAGCCCAGAAGATATCTCTTACATAAAGAGGGAGTTGGGATTTAAAATGTCCAGTGAATTGCTCCAAAGACAAGGAGCAGCAGAGGCTAATGAAGCTGAGATTGATGAAGAAGAAGAGGAAAATGGCCTTCAAAGTGATCTGCCTTGGGATGAGGAAGAAGTGGAGTGGGAAGAAGATGTGGTTGATGCAACTCCCCTGGAAGTGTTCTTGCGGTCCCAGCACCTGGAGGAATTCCTTCCCATTTTCATGAGAGAGCAGATTGATCTAGAAGCTCTGTTGCTTTGCTCTGATGAGGACCTTCAGAACATACAAATGCAGCTGGGGCCCAGGAAGAAAGTTCTTAATGCCATAGACAAAAGGAAGCAGGTGCTGCAGCAGCCTGGGCAGCTGGTCGACACTAACCTCTGATGGAGAGTGTTGGTTCACCAGGGTGAGGCTGCAGCACTGGGGTGAAGCTGTGGCCCACTGGAAGCACTTGGGCAGCACCCTGTCTCTACCCAATGCCAGACCACTGAAAGTAAGCCTAGGGTTTCAAAGATGCCTTCCTAAGAAAGAGGCCCAGACTCTATTCTGGGAAATAATTTATGCCTAGGCAAATAAACCACTCCTGAGCAATTCAAGGGAACTTGGAGCAAGAAAACAGCATGTCTCTTTAATTATCTTTTTGTTACTTCTGAATAAAGAAATGGTCAAATGGGTGACCGAAAAGTGAAAGAAATTTACTTTTCTAACTCTTGGAGTTTAAATGATAATTTCTTATCACACTAGCCTACTGCTTATTTTCTGATCTACATAGTCTGAAGATTCTAATTGGTTCTATCCTGAGCTCCATGTCTTTGCCTGTTGGCAGAGACTACATTTCCTCACTGACATTGACCTGAGAATCGATGCCCAACTTAAATGCATTTAACCTTTTAGCCGATGTTTACAAGTACTGGAAATGGGTTTATAGTACTCCTGCCTGAGAACAGGGATAGAGTGGCAGGGAGGGAAACTGAAGAGAGAATGTAGGGTGTCTTTTGTGGACTGAATTGTGTCCCCCCCACACTAAAATTCGTATGTTGGAGCTCTAATGTCAAGGGACTTTAAAGTGATGATTAAGCATAAATAAAATCATAAGGATGGGGTTTTAATTCCCTATGACTAGTGTCCTTATAAGAAGAGGAGGCTATACCCAGGATGTGCTCACACATAGAAGAAAAGGTCACGTGAGAGCCCAGCAAGAAGACAACTATCTTCAGCCAAAGAGAATGGCTTCAGTAAAATCCACATTTACCAGCATCTTGATTTTGGACTGTTAGCTCCAGAGCTGTGAAAAAAAATTTTCTGTTGCTTAAGCCACTCTATTTATAATGTTTTGTTATGGCAGCCTGAGCTGACTAATACAGTATATAAGCAAGGGAGTGGTGAAAGAGAGAAAAAAGAATATGGAAAAATACCTGACCTATTTTGTGATTTTTCTAAGGGTTAAGTGCCTCCTAAAACTTGAAAAGGGGGGAAATCTGGTTTTTTTTTAGGGAATCCTGACTGTAAATTTTACATGTTCATGCTTATTATGTGTATATCTTTTTTTGTTGTTTAGAACCATTGCTGCGCGTCTGAACAAATGTATGTTATACTTTGGATCCTAAATGTACCCAAAGGCCCATGTGCTACAGGCTTGGTTACTAGCCCATGGAGGTATTGGGAGGGGGTGGAAACTTTAAAAAGTAGGACTAGTACAAGGAAGTGAGGTCACCAGGGGCAAGCCCTCTGCCCCTAGCTTTCTGGTTGCTATGAGGCAAACATTTCCTCTGTCACATGCTTCTACCATAATGTTTTGCCTTGCCACAGCCCCAAATGCAATGGGGTCAAGTGATCATGTACCAAGACCTCTGAAAACATGAGCCCAAATAAACCTTTCCTCTTTAAGTTGATTTCCTCAGGTATTTTGTTACAGCAATGAACAGCTGACTAACACAAGTGTGGGTTCCACAGTATAAACTAGCAACATTGCTGCTGATAGTTTTTGAAAGGCAATCCCAAATCCAAATGAAACCCCTAATAAGTAGCTATTTCACTGGAATTTTATAACCAGGCTTTTTTTCAAGTAGAATTTACCATTGATTGTGTATACAATATAGAAACAGCTGTTTGTGTTCAACTGCTTTCTAATTCACATCTGTTTGGTTTACTTCAAGAGGCAATGTGGTGGATATAAGCTTCCAGATGATACAGGTGCTCAAATCTGTTGAACAATTGATTGGCTCATTCTTTCCTGATGGATGAATTCAAGAAGCTTGTCAGTTATTAGATAAATGTGTTGCATTAGAGGATAATTATGTTTGCAAATGCTGTTTTGTTCTGTACAAACTGAAATTGTACTTGTCTCAGTAATATACACAAAACAGTTGGTATACAGCAGGCACTCAAAACATTTGTAGTCTGGACTTGCCTCTATTGTACATCATTTCTGTGGATACCAGAACCCCCTCTTCACAATATTCCCCTGAATCTTTCCTTCCCTAACTTACATAATGAGAAGTCATCAGTTGGGTTGGGAAAAATAAGCCTAAATATATGACTCTCACCACTTTTTGGGAGCTAGCTCTAGGTCACCAGACACTTTTATGCTCTTCTTGGGGGCTGTTAGTCTCCTATGATTTACAGAATTAATAAGTGAGGTTCTAATCATTCTTAGTATTGAATATTCAGTCTCTCCATTATGTTATAAAAGGATCTATAGTATGTTATAAAACCTTAAGAATTCCAAATCTTTTTTTATGAACAGCAAAATTTATTTCTCACGGTTTGGGAGTCCAAGAAGAAGGTGCAAGGGCCTTGCTTCCTGGCTTATGGATGGCAGGCACCTTCTTGCTGTGTCCTCTCATGACAGAAGGGGCAAGGCAGCTCTCTGGGGCCACCTTTATAAGGACAATGACCTATTTATGAGGGCTCCTCTCTCATGGATGATCACTTCCCAAAGGCCATACTTCTTAATGCTACCACTCTGGAGGTTAGGATTCAACATGTGAATTTTGGGGGAGGGGCACAATCAAGAATTCCAAATCTTTCAAAGTGAACTCCAACAAAAGGACCCTAAGAGAAGATGCTAGAGTAATAGAAAGGCAGAAACAAAGATAAAGTATGATCCAGGATGAGTTTCAAAAGTTCACTGATGCCAGGTACTATGGCTGATGGTTGTAATCCTAGCTACTTGGGAGGTGGAGACCAGAAGTATCAATGTTCAAGGCCAGCCCCAGGAAAAAAGCAAGACCCCCCATCTCAACACACAAGCTGGTACATGACTGTAATCCCAGCTACAAGGGAAGCTTAGGTAGGAGAATTATGGCCTGAGGCCAGCCACTGGCACAAAGCTTAAGACCCTATTTGAAAAATAACTAAAGCAAAATAGAGCTGGGAACATGGCTCAAATGTAGGGTACCTGCCTAGCAAGCATGAGGCTCTGAGTTCAATCCCCAAAATCAACAATAGAAAAAGTTCACTGATTTCAGACCTCCATCTCTTAGAAGCTTACAATATCTCAATCCAATGATATTTGAGCCCTAACAGCCTCCTACATACTCTGCCTTTTTCCCCTCCTATTTACTCTGACACAAAAGTCAATAAGAAAGGCAAGCAGCTGGGAGAATTTCATTGAAGAGAGGAATTTGAGAAGTTATATTTGGTGTTTATATTTTGGAGTATCATAAATACAAGTTGGTTTTATGGTTGTAATTCCTACAACTGAACTACCAGTCCAGACTATTGTTTTGAGCTTCAAATTCATAAGCCCAGGTCTTACTTGGTATTTCCTTTCAAATGTCTCACAGGTACCTCAAAGTCAATGTTAGATATTGAGTTTGAACTCACTAGATATTAGAACTGAACTCACTTTCTCTCAAATCAAGTTCTCAACCAAGATTGTTTCCACATATTTCCCAGGGAATATCTGCCAATATGTGGAGATATTTTTGTTGTCATGAGTAGGATGGGGTTGCTACTGACCTCAAGTAGGTAGAAACAATGGTATATAGGATTGCCCTCCACAACAAGTTACCCAGATTCAGTAGTAGATAGTGCTGAGGTGGAGATACCCAGCACCAAATCTCCACTTTTTTTGGTGGGACTGGGGTTTGAACTCAGAGCCTCACGCTTGCTAGGAGGTGCTCTACCACTTGAGCCACTCCACCAGCTCCACTTTTGATGAATGGTAAATTGAACCCAATACTTCTTCCTTACCTTTATCACCCAATTGGTTAGACTGTTGAGTACATCCTAAGCAGTCTCTTAATTCACTCTCTGCAGTGCTGGGAATAATCTTCCAATGTACAGACCTTCTCTTTCTACCTTCTTCTCCTCATTGCTTTTCAGGCTCTCACCATTACACAAAGGACTGTCATGAGCCCTATTCTCTTTCAAACCTTTGTTCTCATCTCTAACCATTCCTCCTCTATCCCCAATTTATAACCCAACCACATCCTTGAGCTTCACTAACTCTCCTATGCCTGTGCCTTTGTACACCATCACCCCTCTGCTTGGAAAACTCTTCTCCATGCAGCCACCCCATTGAGAGACTTACCCTCTTTGTCTCTCTTAGTCTGGTTGGCTACTCTTCCTAGATGGGTAGGCCATTTTCTATTTGCCCCTCTAGGGTTTCTCTCTGCTATTCTCTATACTATTCTGTGTCACAGGTGGTTGATCTTCCAGGCTTCATCAAAGGGCTCCCTTGCCCTTGGGATTCTGGTTGGGGTTGGTCAATGGTAGTAATATTAGGAGACAAGAGGGTGGAAGAGAATGATTGGGGTGTTTATTCCACATGCTTCTTCCTTGCATGGCAGTAGGTGCCCTCCTTCATCCAGTCCCTATCTAGCAGCCCTTGGCTCTAGCTCCAGGACTTATGTAGCTGTGGCAGCAACTTCCTACTGTTGCTAGTCCTGTGGTGCTTTTCCAAATAGTCCCTTCATTAAATTATCTTCAGTTGTGCCTTCTGAATTTTGTGCTTCTTTCCTGCTGGGCCCCACATACCATATGTTCCTATAACACCAAAGCATTGTACAGTAATTATCTTATCACATGTTTGTTTTCCTTCTGGATTGTGTGTTCTCTGGATGGTGAGGAATATTTATTTTCTTTCATATCTCAGTATCTAGTGTAGAGTTATGATAGGGACTCTTGTGGGAAGAATGAATGGAGAAATATATGAATGAATATTCTCACCATCATGCAGATTTCTCTACATATTCCCATAGGGTTGTGACTATTAAAATTCTCAGAAAGGAACTGGGCATGGTAGTGCATACCTGTAATCCCTGCACTTGGGAGCTGAGGCAGGAGGATCTCGAGTTTGAGGCTAGCCTGGACTACACAGCAAGTTTGAGGCTAGCCTGGACTCGTGAGACCCTGCCTCAAACCAAAAAAAAAAAAAAAAAGAAAAAAAGAAAAAAAAATTCTCAGAAAGACTCCACAATCACTTGAGATGTGCAGAATCAGATTTTGTGTATATTTTAGCACAGTGGCCTCTGTCCAGACAACCTGGTGGACAGGAATATGCTTTTGACTAAGCTACTTAAACATGAAGAGGCCCTGACAGGATGAGTATGGATAGGAAACAAAGTGAAATAGCATGCTTTGCTTTGCTTCTGATTTATCTAATAACAGCCTTGGGATGGAGGTGGGAACTGGTTCAGACTGACTGGTTCTTTGGCAGGACAAGGGCAATACAGCTTAGCTATAGACTCAGAGGACCTGAGGAAAGCTTTTTCCCATCTGCATATTCAGGTGGGGCCTAATGTAGATTTAGCCTTTTTTACTGTCAGCCCATGTGGTCAGATGCGTTGATTCCATACCTGACTTCAAAGGATAAAAACACAAGCCAACCCTGGTCAAACAGAGTATTCCATCTCTTTAATCTGTGATGTTAGGCTTGGAAATAAGCACATAACCTAGATGGTCCAGTGAGTCTCAGTTTGGGGACTTTTAATTGTGAAAGAAGAGAAAGAGGACAGGGTATAATTCAGGAGCTTCTGGCAACTGTCCTGCCACTACCTAGGGGAGAATCTGCTTAACAATGAAACCAACACTGAAGAAAATAGAAAGTAGGAAAAACAAGACCGGTTCCTGATGACACTGGGAGCCTCTAGATACAACTGCAACTGGACCCAGTTACCTGTCTACTTCTTAATTATAAGAGTCAATTAATTCCATTCCCCCACCATTCATGCAACTTGGGATAGACAAGTGTTGTCTCTAACCTTTGTGATCAAGTAAGTGCTGACCTATCTAGAAATGCCATTGTTCCTTAAAACTTTAGGATAGATACAAAAAGCTACCTAGTGTATGATCCAATTTATACAAAATTTCCAGAAGAGGCACATACATTGATGTGGAAAGTAGGCTAGTGGTTTCCAGGGGCAGAGAAGAGGGCAAAATGGGTAGTTTCACTAATGGCCACCAAGTTTCTTTTAGGATGATGGAAATGTTCTGGAATATATTAAAAACCATTGAATTGTACACTTTAAAATAGTGAGTTATGCTGGGGATGTAGCAAAGAAAAGAATGAAAAGTATTGAGATATATGGTGAGTTGTATTACAATTAAAAATAGGAAAATTTTTATTATAGTCCTTAGACTTCCTCTGGGGAATGAATGGAAGCACATGATCCCCTTCATTTCTTTGCCACAAGGAACAGAAGTTATCCAAACAAACACTGCAGAACTGGAAAATGCTTTATTTCAGGGAAGTATGAAGTTAGTGAAATACAAGGAAAGGGAATGGCAGTATCACCTGCTATAACAGAAGAAATGGTTACCTAGTTTTGTTTTCCAATTACAATCATGAATGGGAAGCTCAGTATTTAAGGTAATACATGATAAGCACAAAACTATAGTTCACTGGGGCACAGAGCTCCCTAGTTTGGTATAGGGATTAGGAGACAAATTATGCATCCCTTGAGCTGTGATATCCATCTCAACACAAAGCTGCTTTGTCTCATTTGCCAGATGACCAGGAATCATATACAAGTTTGGCTGCAACCATGTCTTCCACTGCCATTCCTAGAATGGACATAAATTTGGTTTGCCTTTGGTGGGAACAATTTTTCCAGAAACATAGGCCCTGTGACTGGTGGTTTTTTGATACACTGTGCATGTTTCTGATGCCCGTCAGGATAACAAGGATTGCTACGAAGAGGTGGAATCAGGCCTGGCTGGTCTACAATGAGCAGGTCAAGGCATGAAATATGATACTAAGCAAGAAATGCCCAGGTTTTATATCCCTTAAGATTTAGTTCAAGGGTCAAAAAACTGACCTTGAAGAATCAAATAGTAGTTTAGGTTTTGTGGGCCATATGGTCTCTGTCACAATTACTCAACTCTGCCCTAACAGTGGAAAAGCAGCCATAGGTGACAGGTAAATGAATAAACCTACCTATGTTTCAATAAAATTTTATTTATTGGCACTAAAGTTTTAATTTCAGGTCATTGTCAAGTGTTGTTAAAGATTATCCTTTTATTCTCCTTCCCCACCCCTCTCCCCCAATCATTTGAAAAGAGGTGGTTGGCTAGGTTTGGCTCTCAAACTATAGTTTGCTGACACTGGTCTACCTCAAATCCTGTATCTTTAGCATCTCTCCTTTGTCTTGTACAAGTTGAGCACCCCTGATTCAGAAATCTGAAACCCAAAATGTTCTCTAAAATCTGACTTTTTTAGAGGATCACAGGGGTACTCAAAAAAGTTTTCAATTTTGGATCATTTTAGATTTTGGATTTTCAGATTAGGTGTGCTCAACCAGTCAAGTCTATGCAAATATTCCAAAAAACAAAACAAAATAAACAACCCTCCAAGTCTAAAACTAGTTCCAACTATTTCAGATAAGAAATATTCAACCTGTAATTTTAGATACATACTTTAACCTTTGTACCCAACATAGATACATTTATGTACTAAGGATGCATCTGTCAGATAAAGGATGTGCCAGTAAGCTAACTGGTACATCCAATTGTGAGAAAACAAAAATTGCTCAAAGGAGCAGTCTCTACAGCATCTTGTCTCCATTGGGAGGCTGGATGGTCTCTGGTCTGCTATGAACTCTGAAGCTTCCAGACACAAGTGAATCAGTGGGATGTCATTGAACCAGGCTCTGGATAAAGTTTATACTGCATTTGTCTGTGTTCTGGTGCATAAGAGATTTAAAAATATTTAACAGTTGGCCAGGATACTAACCAAAGGCACAGATGTTGGGCAGCCAGAGCACTCTTAATACTCTGCCAAACATTAAAACTTTTGCTCCTTGATCATAAAGAAGTATAGAAGGTCATGAGGGACTCAGGATATCAAGTATTTACCAACCAGTTTGGGAGTATTTAGATATTGTAGGCTTTATTAGCTGAATATCAGCTCTGTTCTCATGTACTTCTGTTTCTTTAAATCTGGTAAAGTGGGAGAGCTGAGTCAGAGCTGAGTCAATGGTCAGACTGACCACTGGGAGACCATACTTTGCTGGCTTCCATCACTATTGATCCAGGTAGTTTGGGGCTAGCCATGAAAGCTATCCTCCAAGGAGCAAGTGAGAGGGCAGGAAAGGAGGGAATAAAGAGGTCTCAGGCTGTACTTCCCATCTGAATCTCTTTCAGGGTGGGTCTGTCATTTCCCTTAAGTTCACTTTCTTTTAACAGCTTATCCCCTGTGTCCTACCCCCAACTTTGAAGGATATCTTCTGAATGCATTTAGATCTAAGACTAAGTAACTTACTGAAGACACTTGTGTGCAAGTCATTTTCCATGCACAACTCATTCAATTCTCACAACTCAAAAATAACAGTGGTGAAGACACTGTGACTTAGAGAGGTCAGGTCACTTGTCCAGGCACCAGTGCATGACAGAGAAGGGACTCCAGGATTGCCCAGTTTCAGAGTGCATGGGCTTAACCATTACCTGAAAAGATGTAAATGATTGATCTGAATGATGGACTTCACAATGATTTCACAATGACTTATCTATACAGCTTTGTGACTCATTCATTCCTCTTTCTACCATTTGGTAAACCTGCCTTGTGTGCTGAATGGATTTGTACCCAGGGAGCAATGGTTCTTACCCAAAGACTTGAACACAGTGTCTTTTCACAGTGTGCTGGTTTTACCCCCTTCACCACTTCTCCCAGCTCAGCAAAGATTTCAGCCTGTAAAACAAACACACACTGACCAGAAGTGAAGCTGAAATTTGCTCAGGTTTGGTTTCTGAAGCCAGCACAGGATAACCCTGAAATGGAAAATAGATAGACTTGATAAAAAGATATCAGAGATATTTGATAATATCAGAGAGGATTCTGCCCATGGCAATTCTTTTTGGGTAGCATCTACCTTTTGGGTACCATGAACACAGAGATCTGAGTTTATGTCTAGGGGGCTGGCCTGCCAAGTCCCTGTGGCAGTGAAGAAAAAGGCATGTTGTTATCTGAACATGCACTTTTGTACTCACCCCCTTCTTGCTTGCTTCCATACTCTGATTAGAAGGAAAAAAGGTAGCCAGAAGGTAGCCAATCATAGTCTTCTTGTGCTGGCCAAATAGGAACAGTTTCCAGGCTGCAATTGGCTGCTATTTCCCAATCCCCCTGCCTTTAAAGGACAACCCAGTGTAAAACTCCCTCAAGCTTCTCCCTCCTAGCAGAGGCAACAGGAAAACAGATGTCATCAGCATAATGGCCATATTATTCTGGAATGGAATTAAAAAGGGTTGCAAGATCCTAAGAGCTTCTTCCCCACTAGCAGAAGAAGTGACCAAAGTCTATAGGAAGCCAAACTGCTGGGGAAGTTAATGGAACCCTGGAGCCCAGGTCAGGCCAGTCAAGCAGCAGCTCTGATGGATGACAGGAGGCTCACCTCTGACAACAGGACATCTCCTGACTCCTTCAAGGCAGCCTCCTTAGAATCCACATACAGCACTGCTTGCTTCATGAGCTCATCATCCAGTTCTCGCCAGTCGGGTCTGCTGGCTCCAATGGCTATGAGATAGCAAAACAAGCCCTCAGCTCAGAATAATTCAGATTCGGAGTACTGCCTCATTCTCTAGGTCAAGCCCCTCCCAGCAGGTAAGACTGAATAGTTATTAAAAATAATACCTGCCATCTTTCCCTTCCCTTTTATATCCCACCTCAAGTTTAAGGTTTTGAGGCCACTTAACATTTATTTACTGGATACCTACTGTCTGTGGGATGTTCTATGTACTATTTATAGTCCTCACATTACACTTCAATGTCTGATTCCCATTTATCAATGCACAAATTGAGGCTGTGAGCAGAGGTCCTGCTAAGGTTATGTGCTCATTGGTGAATCTGGGTCTGAAACAGCACCATGGCTTTCACTTAAGTGCCTCTTCTGCTTGTTGGGAGGGATGATGTCCTTACAGAAATCTTAGACAGAGATATCACTTGGCGCTTACTCATATCCCACCCTCCTTTCTGTGTGTCTTCTTGCTAGACAATCATTCCCACTGCTCACCCCTACATGCTTTTAATTGATGGCAAAAGAATCCAATGTCAAGGTCATAGAGAAGCCTCAAGTGAAACAAAACAAAATAAAACTGGCTCCTTCCTGGCCCTGAAGAACCTTCCTGGGCTCTGCAGAGCCCAGAACCAGAACAATGAATCCAGCACATGATGCCTCCTGCCACAGGGATATAGAATAATAGAGGTCTCAACCAAATGCCAGCAGAGCCAGGCAGGCAATCAAAAGAAGCCAATCTGACAAAGAATTGGTTTGGAAATAGTAGAGACCTGGGTACCCAGAAGAGAGTACATCCTTCTCAAGGGAAGTCATTATTCAGCGATAGCTAATTGCTGTCCTGTGTGAATGCACATCTACGTTCATTAGATGTGCGCCCCCCTTAAAGAGAAGAAGGAAATTTATTTGCATCTGTTATTTCTTGATTTATCTATGGTCCAAAAAAAACACATCTGCTGGCTGTATTCATCCCTGGGCAGCTAGTCTTTGAAAATGCTATAGAATCTTATCCAAATATAAGGCAGCATTTATGCCTCCTTGCATCGCCATCCAGTTTTCTCAATTTGTTTCTTTCACTCTGGTTTCCAAAGTGTAAAAATGTCCATCTGGCAGTACTAGGGTTTGAATTCAGGGCCTCATGCTTGCTAAGAAGCCAATCTTCTTATTGGAAGATAACATCAAGTATTGTTTAAGAGCTTTGGTTCTTAGTATAAACTGCCTCAGTTCAAACCCCAGCTCTGTCACCAAGACAGAGTAGTCTGTTCATCTCTCCATGCCTTAGTTCATCCACTTATAAAGTAGGGGTCATAATAATTATAGTTCCTACTTTATAAGGTTGTTGTAAGTATTAAATGACATAATGCATATAAAGAATTTAGAACAGCACCTGCAATAGTATTTGTTATAGAGCAGCTCTTGCTATAAACTCTAGGATAATTTAAAGATCTTCAGTGGCTCCTAGTATCCTTCTCTCCTCCCTCCATCCTACCAAACATAATAAAAAGCATCTACATGTCACATTAAATGTCTTTAGTACTGTAATTATTTGGAAAAGTTTTATAGTTTTAAGTGTTACAAACAAATGATTCACTTAGACTTTGGGATTTAAATTTCTTCATATTTAAGAATGAAAAAGCTGTTGATTTGTGGTAATATTACATTTTATAAAGCATAAATTAGTGAAATATTTGTCAGTTTCAGGTTTGCAATTTCCCATTCATATTCTGGTATATCATTTTTCAGACTCACACATTTCTGAGGCCCTTACAAAGCTCAGGCATTCTATATAAATAATGAAGGAAACAGCTCTGCAGATGCAGCCTCAGGGTGCAGTCTAGGGAGGAATCTGGCTACTACCTACCCACAGCTCATGGAGCCTCTCTACTTACCATTGATGTGAGCCCCAGGCTTCACCCATTCACCAAACAAGATAGGCTCTGTCGCCATGGTAACTGTGATGATCACATCAGCACCTGTCACAGCCTCCTGCACCGATGAACAGACCCGTACCTCTCCTTGCACAGTGTTTGCAAACTTCTCTGCATTTTCTTTGGTGCGGTTCCATATTCTCACCTTCATTGGGGTAACAAGAGGGATACTGGTGCCACTTTTCAACAGCTTATGTTACACCAAGCCCCGGGGTGCCAAAGGCAAGTTGAACCATTCTGGGATAGGGACCGTGGTTGTCTAAATCATTACATCAAAGGCACTTGATCAAGGGTACAACATTAATATGAATAGATATCCTGTCAGATAATTGAAAATGAGCTTTCCCTGCAAATTTCCTCCTTTAAAGAAGGGTAGGAAATTTCCAGTTTTAGGCTTGGACTCAGTGTTGGTGGTGTAACAGTTACTATAATGCTGAATTGTTTGGAGGAGCAAATTCTGGAGCCAGGCAGGCTTGAAATATCAATCTTTGCTTTGTCACATATTGGTCCTGAAGTGATATTACCTCATTCTGTCTTAGTTTCCATGTCTGAAAGATGGCAATGATAACTGGGCAAAGTCAGTGTGAAGGTCACACTGCATGTTTGAGACCCTGTAAAGGAGTTGTGGTGGGTGTGATTCATAAAAAGGATTATTTATGGAAATGCATGTCATGGAATAACTTGATCTCTGATGGGTATGTAAGGATTAAAGATCAAAACGTTTTGGATGAATGGTGTGGTTGATGAAAAAGGAGCTACAGTAGGAATTTTAGAAGGTGGTAGAATGGGGTTGGGGCATGGTCAGTGGAGGCACTGGGAGCTGAGGACTTGTTAGCTTGTTAACAGGTTTCAACAGGTCAGGGGTGTCATCCTTCAACTGAAAATAAGCTAAAAAATCTCTCATAAGGAAATATAATATAATAGAAATAAATTTTATGTATGAGAAAGTTCATTAGCCAAGGTGAAAACAGTCCATTATACCCAGTTGTAAGTAAATGGCTAACCATGTCATGCTTCTTGATAGAAAGTTATGCAAATATCATGCAAAAATTAGATTATCTGGAAAAGTGATGATGTTAGAACATTCAATGAAAAGACAGGATATACATCTATGCAAATCTAATATATTTAAACTGTTATAAAATACTGTGGAGAGAGCTGGGTGCCATCCTAGCTACTTGGGAGGTTGAGTTTGAGAGGATACCTGTTTGAGGCCAGCCTGGGGATAGGGGAAGTCTGAGAGACCCCCATGTCAACAGAAAAAAACTGGGCATGGTGGTACATACCTGTCCTCCCATTGATGAGGAAAGTTTAAAATAGGATGACCATGGTCTAAGCAGGACTAGGCAAAAAGCAAGAGAGTGTTTCCAAAATAACCACAGTTAAAAAGGCTAGAGGCATGTCTGAGCTCAAGTAGTAGAGCACCTGCCTAGCAAGCATGAGGCCTGGAGTTCAAACCCCAGTAGAGCCAAAAAAAAAAAAAAAGATGAGAGAAAATTGGACATTATCTGCTTATCTTTGAAAAGAAATAAATGGATATTTTTCATTTATTTTCTTCCTTATGGTCTATATTTCCTAAAACAGAGATATTTTTATCATAAAAATTATACTTTAAATGTTCCATTCTTCTCATATGCATCCATAAAACAGAATAAAAATAGTATAAAAATTCCTAGGAAGCATGAGCCACAGCAAGGAAAAAGTGTGCCGAGATGTAGCCTGCAGTAGGCAGATGATGAGGACTCCTTACCCCGCAGTCTCTGGCTCCACAGCCCTGAAGACTCTTGGATTCTCCTAAGAGAAGCATAGCGAGGGGCTAAAAGGACATTTCACATACAATAGGTGTAACAGACTTTTTAACTAACTGAATAGCTCATGATATCCTCAGGCTGTGTGAACTCAGAAACTGAAAAGGGTGATCAGAACTTCCTTTGATACTTCACCTCCATCACCTACTTCAGGACTTTAAGGGAAGTCACTACAGTAAAGATTGGTCAACAAAACTACTTCAGAAAAACCCATGCTTCAGTGAAGGAATATAAGTAGAAGTCACTGGCTATTTCCTTTTCCTCTTCCCTCCTCCTAATCCCCTCCCCCAAACTTACCTCCTTAAAGGAGAATTGTTCCATGAAGATCTCATAATGGCTGTAGGCCTGGACCCCAGCCCCAAGGATGCACAACACATCACTAGTGGGGGGTTTCAAAAACTATTTGAGAGAAATGAGGGTGGAAAAGGTAAAGTGAGACAACGGCAGTCAGACGAAAGCAAATATGGTTTAAGTATTAGGTGTCTTCTGTCCCTTCTTCAGCTCCCTCAAGAGCCTGGTAAGCAATCAAGGAGAAGTAATTTTGTTGCAACTTCCCCACTAGGGTGGGGAAGGAGGGATGGTGACTTCATTGAGCAACTAATACATGCCAGTGTTTACCCTCATGATCTCAATTAGTCTGGACAAGAACTCTGTGAGCTGGAGTCTCCTATTGTTATTCACATTTTACAGCTGTGGAGATTGAGGAACACCATGCAGCCTCAGAAAAACCCATAGGCACCTTGTTGTATAACTTCAGGACACCCTAGTCACCAATTCATTCTGTGTAAAACGAGGCCAGTAATACTGGCTCTACCTTCCTCACAGAAACTCTCAAGTTCAGACAACAGGTGGGAAATTATTTTGACAAAGACCAAAGTCTCTTATAAATATCACGCAGCATTATAAGACTCATTCTGTTCTTAAATCAGTAGCAAGCATACCTCAAGAAGTCTCTTGACTATTTTGATCTGGGTTGGCTCTGGACATAATTAAGAACCAGTTAATTGAGGTGAGAACTATACCATATTCCTTTCATATATCATTAGCACATAATCCCTCTGAGTCACAGTCCCTCTTCCCAGCAAATGGAGATACTCACATCTTCTTTGCAAGGTTGATAGGAAGACTGGGAATTATGCATTTGAGGTATTTGGAATAGGATCATGCACATTAAACAGCAACTAATAATTTTAATACCTGAAATTAATCCTTACAGCCTTCCTCTCCATCATATATTCAGAAATCCTCAACATACAATCTGAATACCTGGTCTTGGCTATTCTAACCCTCCCCTAGACCACCACATTTCCTTTATGCTCATTTCCATTTTACATGAAAGGCTTCAAACTCCAACAGACACCCCATTTCCTAAGCCTCCTTTTCAACTCTAAACTCTAAAAATACTGTTTTTCTTGTGGGATGTCTCAACATTGCTTAGAAACATCACCACTCCTGTCACTTGCTGCTCCTGCCAGGAGTGCTCCTGCACACTTTTGCAAATTTCCCTTACTCACTACTTGCAGTCTTTATTCAAATGTCATCCTTTCAGTGTGGTCCTCCCTGGATAATTTAAAGTGCCACTCCCTTAGCTGAGTACACTTGTAGTCCCAGGTACTGGGAGGCTGAGGCAGGAGGATCACTTGAGCTCAGGAGTTCAAGACCAGCTTGGGTAACATAGCAAGACCCTGTCTCAAATAAATAAAATAATATAAATATCACCCTATTCTAATACTCTTGAGTCTGCTTTAGTTTCAATTTCTTAACATACTCTGTGGGTTTGTGGTTGGTTTATTTTTTTAGCAAACTCAAAACACACTATAAATCGTTTATTGATTAAAAATATTAATTATTGCATAAATAACAGTATTATTATTCAATAATTAATATTTGTTAATATTTGTTATTTGTTAATTAACAATTATTATGTAATACCTAAAAAGGCATCTTTGTTGTCTATTTTTTTAAATCAAATCTTACTCCATGCTTTACTTTTAATATTTCTTGTTTTCCACCCATGTGTGCCACTTTGTTTTGCTTGCTACTGCATCTCCAGCAGTTAGAACAGTGCCTGACACAGGAAGTAATTCTGTCAATGGTGCTGAATGAATACATCAGCATGGCTTAATTTGTTCTGTTCACCCTCTGCTTCTTGTGCAGTATTGGCTCTTGCCTATGGGACAACTTATACTGTCTTTCTAGGACTAATGTGGTACAAGGCCAAGAATGCAGTCTTGGGAGTTGCTTTGTCATTTCTTAACTGTGTGATGTTGGGTAACTCACATAACCTCTCTAAACCACAATCCTTCTTCCTGGCAAATAGATACAACCAGATCTTTGCAAGGTTGATGGGAAGATTGGGACTTATGTATGTGAGGTACTAGGAATCAGGTCACACACAAAAAATGGTAACTAATAATTGTGAAAATCCCTGTGCTCCACCTGTATCTCACATTTGGCATTTGGGATTCCAGCTATGTCCAAAGCAATACCAAAATGTTTCTCATTCTCCCTTACTCTCTCAAGAGAGAGATTGGTGTCTTTCCATCTCATACCCAGCTCCAACCACCAGCTTGCCTTCAGCACAGCCAGTCACTAATCTTACCTTGGTGGCAATGGCAGACACTGCAGCTGTTCTTTTTGCAGTTATGACATTTCCATCCATGACCTTGAAAGAAGGAGAGACAGTGAGCAAGGTGTACCACATCTACTATTTAAACTCAGAGGAGCAGTTCTAAATGAGTAGCCCTAGGAAGTTTTAGAGTATCCAACAGACAGTGGGGTCTTGGTGTCAAACTTGGATCCAATTCCTCCACTTATAAGCTATACAACTTTGAATGTTTTCATCTCTAAGTATTGGTTTCCTCACCTGTAAAAGCAAAGACAGTGCCAGTGGTTTAGATGGTTACTGGGAGGATTAAGTGCACTGGCATAAATGAAAACATCTGGCACACAGCAAGATGTGCCAGCTCAGAGGACACTAAAGAACTATGAATGTCAGCACCACAGTCACGGAGGGATTTGTCAGAATTCAATGTGATCAATTTCTTCTGCCTGGCAGATCAGTGCTTAAGAAACGGCAGTTTTAAAAGGTAACAGAACTGGGCATGGTAGCTCATGCCTATAATCCCAGCTACTGGGGAGGCACAGATCAGGAAGATCATGGTTCAAGGCCAGCCTGGGCCAGATGTGGGATGTGGGGCACAAGTCTGTAATCCTAGCTACCCAGGAGGCATAGATAGGAGGACTGTGGTCTGAGACTAGCCCTGGGCAAAAACTTGAGTCCCTATCCCAAAAATAACTAAAGAAAAACGGGGCTAGGGATGTGGCTCAATTGATAGAGCACCTGCCTAGCAGACATGAGACCCTGAGTTCAAACCCCAGTACTTCCAGAAAAAGCAATAGGGCAGTAGAGCACAGTCTTAAGATAGGAGAGGTCACAGACTTAGAGTGAAGAGGTCTGAAGTCCAGTTATGCTACTTATTAGTTACATAGACCTGAGTAAGTTGGACAGAGTTGCTCTATGATTCAGCTTCCTCCTCTGTAAAGTGGGGAAATAATATGACCCACTGCATGGGTGGTTTTAAGTATTTTGAGGGTTAACACATATGAAGTGTTATAAACCTTGACTGACATAAAAAGTGCTCAATAAATGTGAGCTACTGATACTTTTTTGATACTATGATTAGACATGTAAACAGTTAACTGTGTATTCCTCAGGAAAGATTCTCACATGTTCTGTTCCATGTTGATAGGCATTCAGCAAATAAATGCTTTCTCAAATGTTTTCTTCAACTACAGGGTAGTCCAAGCTATGTATTCACAGTATCTCATGTGTGACAAGAACATAGATAAGAATAAAGAGATTATTCTTTCCACATGGTCACACCTGAAGCCACAGTGGGTTTGATGCTAGGTTTTGCATCCTCAGTCAGTCCTCGAAATAGACACACTGTCACAGATAACAACCTTCACTGTCACTAGGCTCCAGTCACATGTAGAGGTCACTTGTCATAATCAAAACTCCTCCCATTTATGGAGCACTAACTTCTGAGTCTAGCTCTGCCTTCAAGGACTTGGTCTACCCCACTATAGGGAGGGGCTCACCGCCAGCAGGGAGCCACTGTTGGGCTCGAAGAGAAGCACGGTAGCCTGGTGTGAGGGTACGCTAGAGGTGATGCTGTGGCCTTCGTAGAAGGTGACCAATTTGGTGGTCAGAGCATCCTCTGCTGCACTGTACACGGGCATCACCCCCAGGAAGCTACAAGGAAAAAGAAAGCTGTCTCAACCTTCTACGAAGTTTTCAGACGCCTTCCTTTATGCTTCCTCCATCACTGTCCCCCACCCCACACTTTCCTGGTACCCCATTGCTCTTTCTTTCCCTTAGGCAGGACGCATGCTATGTTCAAGGGCCTGGCTTTGGACCCGAAAACCATCCTAGCTCTGCCACATATTAGCTGTGTAAGCTTGAGTAAATTACTTAACCTCTCTGAATCTCAGTTTCCTACCAGTAAATGGTGACATCAATAGTACCTTACCAAGGAGAGTGTGTTGAATTAAACTAGGTCCCACTTGGCATGGTCGGTAGCACATATTAAGTGACAGCTGTTATTAGCAAATTAAACAAGCTCTCTTTTCCCTTTTCCCACGCTCTCTCCTCGTCCTTTTTTCCAGTTTCCCCTAGCCCTGCCCCCAGCCTTTCTCTCTTACCCTCTGTGCTTGGCCACCGGCACCACGGTGCGCACGGGCTGCATGACCCCTCCGTCGGGGCCGCTGGAGAAATTGGCCAGAGCCACCTCCAAGGGCGGGATGAGGAGGCTGGAGCTGCGCAGGTGGCTCTGCACCTCTGCGGCGCTCAGGAACGCGGGCGCCCGGCTCATCTCGCCCGCCTGCCTTCTAACCTCAGCCCCACACCGCAACCTGCGTTCGCTGCGCTGCTCCCGAAATGAGCTCGCCACCCGCTGCTGTGCCTCGGGCTGGTCACCGCCTCGCCCCGCCCCCAAGCTTGTCTCCGCCCCTCCACCCACCCCCAACCCATAGGGTGGGCGAGGCGCAGGATGTTCAGAGAGCTAGTCCGTAAGATAGGAACCGAGACCGCACACCCAGCGTTAAAACTCTTGAGTCTGCTTTCTTAGTTCCTGTAATTAATTGTAGTCACAGTCCCTGGCAAGTCGTGCGAGTAGAGGTACCCCAACCTTCGCTCATCCCCACCAACTCCTCTGTTGGCTGTTGTCTTGGGAAAGAAGACAAAGGACGTGGGGCACACGATGGCAAGGCTTCTTTAGCTTCTAAGTTATTACCGACTTCTAGCAGTTCTTAGATGAAAGGAGACGAAGGGTTATGAAAGAGTTTCCTTTCAATTCTGTCTCCATCTGTAGTCTCTAATTTCAATCTCCCACTTCCACTCCCACCCCCAGATCCATGGCTGTTCATTAAATGCAAAATCGTCTCTCGGGTTAACTAACCAGAATCACATTCAACTTTAAAAGGGGGGAAATTCTCAGAGCAAGGTGTAATGACCTCGGTCACTCAAAGAGGCAAAATGCAGGGTCTCCTCCTCCTCCTTCCTCTTTCTTCCTTAATAAGGAATTCTCCGTGTACTTGAGAGAAGACAACTGCGTGTACACTGAAGGGAAACTAATCACAGTGATAATCCCTAATCATTAAAACAGTGATTGGGAAAGCGCTTTGAGTAATTGAAAGAAAAGAGATTATTATGGCCTGGAGTGGTTAGGAAAGGGTATCATGAAAGAGCAGAAGAAACCAAGGCTTGAAATATAATTATAACAATAATTACAATGATAACAGTAGTGTATTGATCTTTACTTTGTACCAGTACTGCACAATGCCCTTTACTGTATTATCTCACTTAATTTCACGACAAGCTCTGAGTATGTAGGTGTTGTATTAGCTTTACTGTCCATTTCAGGCTCTGGGAAGGGAAAAGAGTTGTTCAAGGGTATCCAGCCAGTCAACAGGAAGTAGGGATTTTCTTTTGAGTCAGACAACACAACTATACTCCTAAGCATGAGGCTACAGTGGCAGAGAGGGAGGAAGAGGACATTTCAGGTCAGGTGAAGTCCAGGGTGGAAGGAATATTGTTCAGTCCTTGGGAACAGTGAGTAGACAGGGGCCTGATGTCTAGGAGCATCAGAAGAAAATCTGGAACTGCTTTTTGGGGTCAAGCGACTAAAGAGTTATATTCTCAAAGAGATTAAAAATTCAGAAAGATTGGTCCTATACCTCTGTATAGGATGACAGGATAAACAAGCATGGAGCCTTGGAAGGTGTGAGTACAATTTGGTTGACACATTTCTTAGGAAATTGTCATTTCCTAAGAAAAGACAATGGATGAGTAACATCAAATTATGTATCAATGAAACAAGAAATCACATGTAATACATTTAGCACAATGTTTGGGACAGAGTAGCCACATAATAAAGAAACCTCTTATATAGGAGAGAGAGAGAAACCTCTGTATTTTTAGATGGTAATTTGATGGTTGGTTTTATTGTAAGACCTGGTGACAGCTGTTGGAAAGAAGTCCTAATAAAATAGGAGACCAGACTTCTTTCTCCTCAGATTGGTGGTAGCAGCATTGGTTCTAGGGAGAGTGGGTGGTGATCAGCACCAATGCTGGTGGCCAATTGGAGAGCAACAATCTAGAATCTCAAATAAGAGCTGTTGTTACAGCATGAACTGATAGGGCACCCACAGATTGTAGTACAAATACCTGGTGCCCCAAATGCTCCAGAGGAGAGAAGGAGGTTATTGAAGTTCAGGCATCCTAAAACAAGGTTGGGGCTGTGGGTTAGCATATTTTTGTGGAGTGTGCTTCCTTTCCATGACTAGTTTTACAAAGAGCAGAAATGGTTGGTTATATACGTTTAAGAAATGATTGTTTCCCTCATTGATGTATACACTATACGAGTAATTACCCTAACTGTGCCTATTGAGTTTTTAAAATTGGAGTTGTAATGTTTTTTAGCTAAAATTCTCACCAATTAATTTTCAGGTAAAGAATTAGGAGGTTTGTTCTTAGTGATTCCAAATAAGGGCTCTGGTGTCAGTATGGTTTGAATCCAGGTTCTCTTACATGTTCATGCTAGATGACCTTGGGCAACAGAGTTTACCACTGTGATCTTGTTTTCTCAACTGTAAAATCAGATGATATTGATAACATTAGACCCAACCTCCCAGAGTTGTGGTGAGGCATAAATGAGATCAAATTTTGTCGTTTAAGCAAGTAGGTTTAAATAGATATTATTAATTAGTATCCGAATATGTATTATTAGGTATTATTGAGGTTTTAATTTTTTATTATTAGAATAGTGAAGCTACTAACTAACGTAGTGATGACTTAACAGAAAGAATGTTAATAAACTCACTAGTAAAGTAGGGGCCAGTATCCTGGAAACTGCACAGTTCTCCTTTCTCCGCTGTCTGCTACGGATTTGTAGGACTCTGTGTCTGAGCTCCTGGAAATTCCTGGCCAACCCTCCACAGACCCTGGGGATGAGGGGGGCCGTCACGTGCACCTCTTGTAGACTTCTGGGGCCACTACACGAAGTGACAGCAGGCAGAGCTGTCCTGGGGGTGAGACAAGACACTCAATTCTCAAGTTAAATATTAAAACATTTTAATGCAATATTTAGAAATAGAAATTAATGCAAACGAAATCTACGATGAACAAAATATCAAATTTTAAATAAAAACAGCATTACTGTTTCCCTTTTGCTTTAGGCTCCAAGATAGCTCCTTATTTCAATTTTTTTATTTAAAAACTTTAAAAATACTTATTTTGACTAGTGAATTGCAGTCAAAGTGAGTATATCATTCCTCCGTCATTCTAAAAGAAGCTCGCTGCAGGAAGCACCTGGAGGAGCCAGCGCTGAAGTATTTGGAAAACCTGCGCTGGGACTCCAGGGCGCAGGCGCAGGGGAGGGAGGGAGGCGGTGCCCGTCGGCTCCTCACCCGGTTCCTCTCCACGCACCGCCGGCTCCTCCTCCACGCTGCTCCTTCTGTCCGCGGTTTTGCAAGCGGGGCGCTTGGGGCGGGCGTTGGAGGAGCTGCAGCGCTGGTCCTCGCGCGCCTCTCAGCGGCGGCGGAGGCGGTGGCATTGCCAGGCCTGAGCGGTGAGTGTGGCCCCGGCCCTTCCTCCTCCTGCCGCTGTCCCCTACTCTGTCGCTGCTCTCAGTCGTCCCGGGAGCCACACGTGCTCCCTCCACACAAAAAACCAAAAGGGATTTAGGTTTGAATTTTGACTTTAGTTTTTGTGCTGTTTTTGGTTTGTCACCCTAAATGAGAGACTGTAAGGCACCCTGAGTTTATTTGGGAGAAGCAGCGGACCCCTTGGGGTGTGCGTGCTGTGGAGAACATAGGTAAGTCCAAGGACACCGAGGCAAGGGGAAGCTGTTAATACAGAAGTGAGAAGCACATTAAGGTGGTTTTGCTGTTGTTGGTAGGCCTGAGGTTTGACTTCAGGGCCTCGCGCTTGCTAGGCCACTTGGGCCAATTTTTTTTTCAGTACTGGATTTGAACTCAGGGCAACATGCTTGGTAGTAAGGTGCTCTACCACTCGAGCCAGTCCAATAGCCCACTGAGCCATGGCTTTGCTTTAGCTGTTTTTCAGATAGGGCCTTGCGTTTTTGCCCAGGCCAGGGTGATGCCTCCTGCGTAGCCAGGACCACAGGTGCTGACCACCACACCGTGATACCTTTTTGCCCTGGCTGGTCTTGAACCCGATTTATCTGTCTTGAAACAGCAGGTTCTTACAGGGTTATGTCACAGATTCCTTATAGGAGACGGTGTGTTGCAAAGGGCTTCAGTATACAGCAAAAGGCAGTTTAGGAAGTTCTCTGCAAGAGTTTTGTTACAGGCATAAATAACCCCAGGACTCAGGTGGCAGATTACAAGTTCCAGGCCAGCCTGGGCTCCACTCAAAAACCCTGTTTCAAAAAACAAACAGCAAACAACAACCCTCCCCCCCCAAAAAAAATCCAAAAAACCAAGTCTGAGATTATAGCTCAGTAGTGCAGCCCTTATGTTGCATGCACAGGCTGGGTTCCTCTCCACACCCTCCAGGGAAGCTAGGTGATAGGTTTTCATCACAGGCACGTGTGGGTGAGGGAAAAAGGGTCTTCCTTTCTTAACCTCCTGTTTTGTTTCATATGACCCATGACTCCAGATAGTGGCTTAAGTGATTAAATGGAAGGGTTTCTAGCCAACTTTGGTTCTATTCTGACCTGAGACAAATGACATGACTTCTGTATTTCATCTATAATGTAGAAATAACATTTTGTCTATCTTAGAACCTTTTTCTTTTTAAAAGTTGCAGTCATATTTAAATTAGCATAATTTTTATATCATTTTACCCTTTTGAAGTATGTAATTCAGTGACTTTTACTACATTCAGAGTGTTCTACAATTACTACCACTATCTAACTCCAGGACATTTTTATCACTCCCAGAACAAGCCCTGTACTCATTAAGCAGTCCCACTCCCTTGCCCACTCCTTGCTACCCCTGACAACTGCTGTTCTGCTTTTTGTGTCTGTGGACTTGTGGATCCTGGACATTTCACATAAATAGAATTATATAATATGTGTCTCTTTGTGTCTGACTTTTTTACTTAGCATAATGTTTTCAAGGTTTCCAAATGTTGTATCAGTATCTCATTCTATACTTATATGACCAAGTAATACTCCATTGCATGGATGTACCACATTTTCTATACTCATTCATCAGTTGGGGTTGTTTCTACCTTTTGGCTGTTATGAATGATGAGGCT